ATGACAGAACCGACGAGGTTTTGGGCACCTGAAACCATCTAAGAAGGATTAATCTGCCTGAACTCATTCTGATTTGGTGTTGCAGCACCAGTCCACTTCCACCTGCACGGGGGGACGACCCTGGACCTAATGGGATGTGACGGGGGTGGGAGGAGCTGGAGGGCTACCAGGGCCGGTAGAACTAAGCGTACCTGTTCCCCTCTGTTGGGCAGAGTCTGACACTTGATCATTTCTTTGTAGCGAATGCTCAGCTGCTCCTGCTGCTGTGTGCGTCTCTGAACCAGAACAAGGGAAGCAAGGAGGAGATGGCATGACTGGGCTCTGCTCTTCCTCTCAGACACAAACACTCACACAAAAAGCTCCACAGCTATTAGATCGAGCAGTTAAACGATCACACGGTTTGTACCTGAGCTACTGAGTTAATTCCTCCACATCTCACACAACACATCTACAGTCTGTCCACAGAGAGAGACACAGTGGGGACTCAGGTCGACACAACACAGGACATCGGGTTAGATGATCAGTCTGCTGGTTAGTCTCTCTAAGGGGATGAGGTTTACCTTTCTCCAGGCTGGGACAGGTGCCAGGCGCACTGGCTCATTCACAGGGGTTTGTGGTGGGGTAAGGGGCAAAAGGCGGTCCAAATTGGGCAGAGATTCCCCCTTTAGTTGTCGGGTAAGGATGAGAGACAGAGGCCAGTGAGAGGGCCAGAACAGCCATGCAAGGCATCATGAAATGGTCCATGATGAGGAGACGAAGCCAGGGAGAGAACAACAGAAAGAAGGAAGTGAATCATAGATGCACAGAGTCACAGTGGCTGGAAAATGTGTGTTCAGAACCAAAAAAGGAAATGACAAGGTGTCATAAGAGGAGCATGCACAGTGACGTCACGTAGCAGAGGTCATGCAGGATCAAGAGATGGAAACAGGAAAATATACCAAAGTGAACATAAAACATCTCTAACCGAGCCGACTGTTCAGCTGCTCAGCGTTCCTCACAAATATTACTCTCATGTAGGACTTCTGTCTGAACCTAATCAGCTATTTTTATAGACTTCTGGGGGTCAAAGCGATACACAAATCAGAGGCAGCTCCTGCAGGACACTGAACCCTCTGAAGCCTCTGAGAGGTTTGGGGGTATTTTTTGCTCCTGTCACATTTTTACTCACTGTGGGCTCATTTTTCACAGCATCATAAAGTCCTGCACCTCTATGGAAACAGCAGAACCAGGACTAGACACAGAGAGAACTGACACATGTCTTTTGAGAGGCAGGACAAAGTTATAATGCTGTAAATTATCAAACTGAAAAAGCTGAATTTCTTTGACCACTTGTACGTAAACTACAAAAAAACTGGAATCAACATGTGCAATATTTCTGTGACCAATTCCTAGAAAACAAAGACTCCACATACATACAGATAGTATACTACTTATATCTGTAATGTTTTTCCTGACATGTCTGCCATCTACTCTTTGTAAACACAGCCTGCAGTTCATTCCAGGTCAACTGATCAGTCCCTAGATGTTTGTCACGTGACTGCTGGTCATAGCGGAGCCGCTAACGGCTTCCTGGTTGCACTAACGAGGACAGGATGTTTAGCTTTGTATAGAGTCTTGTCACAGCAAATGACTCAGTTTTGGCAGTTGTTTTAATCAGACATGTAGAATAAAGTAAATGTGATCAAACAGAACGATTTCAAGGAGCTCGAGGAGCATCGGAAAGTTCAAAACCGGACTGTCCTCTCTGTTTTAACAGTTTCTGGTTCTGATAAAAGGTATAATTTTGGTGGTTTTATAAAAACAACATGCCTATTGGGTGGGTTTTGGGCCTCAGAGGGTTAAAAGAGATTTTCCCAAACAGCTGAGAGTTGTCTTTCCCTCCATCAGCGGTACTGTCCAGTGTTTCCATAGCCCACTCCTCCCTCCCACTGCTCTGCCAGTCCTCAGTAGAAAGCAAACCAGAGCTCTGCGAACCAGTTCACCCGAGCCCTCCGAGCCCAGTCAGCACTGTGAGGCCGCCTACGTGACCCGGGAACAATGCCCGGCCTGACCAGCGTGAGCATTCTGGACCTCAGCTCATTAATACGGCGGCGGCCTACAGCCTCGTACATCATGAGACCGGAGGCCCCGTCGCACCGCATCTGAATGTACATCAGAATATTCATTGTAAGGAAAAACAAGGAACAATAAGCGTGCAGAAATAATCCTACAAACAGCCGTAACGTCTCAGCGTCTTCTCCTTGTGGACTGGTTTCTGTCACTCTGAGCTGTAATGAACCGCGGCGTTTCCTCCGTACCTGTCTTTTGAGTCCCGTGGGCTGGGCCGGAGCGTTCTCCTCGAACTTGGCGAGCAGCTGGGTGGCCATGACCTTCACTTTGTTGTGGTTCCCCACAGCAGCAGAGTCCATCTTCCTCTCGGTCAGGACGGAGGGGACAGATGGCCTGTCGTCACGGCCGGACCGGGACATCTCCTCCTGGAACGAACAGCAGCAAGAATTTGTTTGCCAGTCTGGTGGGATTAATTAGCTGGTTCTGGCTGACTTCTCAAACAATAATGAGACGCTCTGCTGTCAGAAGCACTCGCCTCCTCAGACTGGCTGGTTTTCCTCCTCTTCCCCAAACCGTCCACATCCTTCTCTTTTTTGTCCTGTTGATGACATGTTGTGATATATTTTGCCTTCTTGCACAATAATGAAATGATGACGTGCTGTTTATTTACGTTTGGAGCAGGAGGGTGACTGACCTTGGGGTTCCTCTTCCTGGAGATGGCTATGCTCTGGCCCAGCTTGCTGAGGAAGGAGATGGGAGACTTGGTGCTGGCGATCAGTGCAGCCTTCTCCTCTGGACTCAGGTTGTGGTTATCTGAGCAGATGTCAAGAAAAATTAAAATGATCAGCAACTTAAAATCCTCTCAGGATTATAAATAGCTTTAACAGTAATACCTCCCAAAACAAACAGACCTCCTCCACCGCCATATCTCACCTCCAGGTGGCACTGTGTCCTTAAACATCTCGTAAAACTGGCTGAGGTACATGACCATAGAGAGCTTGTCTGGCTCCACTACAGAAGACATCTCCTTGCCAGTCATGCATGGCGAGATCCCAAACTCCCTCTCCGCCACGTCGAAGCCCAACTGGTTGTTCTTCTCCTGGTCTCGCTCGTCCAGAGAGTCGAAGTCACTGGGAGCAGAAAGAAGAGAGGAAAAAGAGAGAGAGCACAAACAAAGTGGGAGTGAGATGGAGCGGCGGCTGTAAAAATCACAGGCCGATAAGTAAAAGTTAGACATAAAGCAATTATTCTCAGTAATATTAATATGTGCTGTTGCTGTAAATGGACCAAACACGGGCCTTCGGTAATGGCTTTCTTCATTTACCTGCTGTGTGAAAAGATCATTTGATGCCAACATGTTTGTTTATTGTGATTATATTTCACATGAACTGTGTTTCAAATAGCAGTAAACATGCATCCATGTTTGGACCGCTGCTAGAACTCTGCTGCTGCTTTGCAATCCTGAACAGAACCGGTAACGTTCTGTGATTGATTTGCCGTCAACCAACTTCAACACTACAGATCGATACGTACTGAAGAATATGAAAAAGCACCGACCAGCTCCATCCATGTGCCATTTCATGTGTCTTCAGGTCAAACGTATGTGGAGTCATTTCCCGTCTTTTGTCTTTAATCAATCGTGTGGTTTATCAATTTAAAAAGAGAATAAGATCAAAAGAGAGTGATAATCCAGCATGGGCAGAGCGTTGAGATTTAAAACATCCTCATCATTCTGCTCTTCCTCTCCCGGGTTGAGCAGCTCTCGGTCTCAGTACTTATATTTACAATCTGTCACTTTTCCACCAATACAAGTGTTTAATGTTGATTTATTACCGTTTCTACTGTCTGTTTTTAGTCGTACCGCGAGTAGAACGGCTGACAAACTGTCATCTTACTTTGTGTAACAACAATAAGGATTCATTCATTCACTCATTCATACATGCTGCTGTTGATTATTATCATATTGAGTCCATTTTAAATCCCAAAACTTTAAACAGCAGCAGTTATGCAGCAGACATGCATCCAGCCACATTATTACTCATTCGGAGCGTCTGTAAGTTCAACACCGACGCTTCTCCTGAGAAATAGATCTGGTTCTATAGCTGATAAATGCTTCAATGTGTCCTCCAGCAGCTGGTCGATAACTTTTGTCTGTCAGCTTTTACTGGCTCATCCGGCTGGAAACACCGCCGTGTGGAAGGTGAAGCAAAGCTGTTGGCTGTAAAACACAAGCAGCGAGCTGTGAAGAGCCGAAGGAAGCTGGAGACACAGGTGAGAACTGATGTTTGTGATCTCCTAACCTGAATTCTGATTTCAAAATTCTGATTTCTGATCGCAGAAGCAACAAAGAACGAACTCTGTGTCGCTTTGTGATGAACCAGCAAAGTTTTCTAAAAAGAGAACGAATCTACATTTTCCAGAGAGAACCGTCCGGCGATGAGTCAGCGTTACCATCGGCAACAGCGGCGAGGCTTCACTGTGCAGGAGGCGACTGTACATACTGTGGAAAGCATTACTGTAAATGTCATTTATACCGCAGCTGGAGACACCATTACCGGGATCATCGATACACCTTCACTGCAGTCTGTTCAGAGGCATTAAAACCTTCAGTCTCTCTTTACATCCATCTCGCACATGCTCACACGTGAGTGCGGTTTTCCCGAGGTGCCCCCCTCCTCCCATCATCCGGCCTATCAGGGGCAGCAAAGCACAACAACTGCTGCTTGGAAAAGGTCAGCCAGGACACAGATACTAATAGCTTATAATGTTAATTGCTACAGAGCCTCCCGAGGGCAGCAAACTACATTAGGCACTGCGGATGGAGACTGTGTTGTTTATAGAGA